CAGCAGCAGCAGCAGCAGCAGCAGCAGCAGGAGCAGCAGCAGGCGGTCTCGCCGCTGTTCAGCCGAGGAGCAGCGCGGCGAACACCGCGAGCGCGGCTGCCGCGGCGGCTGCAGCGTGCGGGCTCTGCTCTGCTGCAGCAGCCTGCAGCGGCTGCTGCTGCTGCTGCTGCTGCTGCGCTGCAGCAGCAGCAGCAACAGCGCGAGGCCGCAGCGCAGCCAAGTCCGTGCGGAAGCGGTGGGCCAAACAACGCGCCGTGTCAGTGCGACGCAGCCAAGACCCCACAGATGAAAAGACTTTCGTTTTGAGCGCATGCAGCCCCACAGCTTCTTCGGGCTGCAGCGAGCCAGTCAGCAGCAGCCCCAGCAGCTGCCCCCCACGCACTGCAGCAAGCGCTGCGGCCTCTGCAGCAAACGCACAAACCCTAAACCCTAAACCCTAAACCCTAAACCCTAGGCAATTAACCCTAGACCCTGCGTCTGCACGGGCGGGGAGCGGCAGGACCCAGTCCGGGTGGGTTTTGGAGGCGGGCTCGGCGCTGCAGCTAAACCCTAAAGGGAACCCTAAACCCTAAACCCTAAACCCTAAACCCTAAACCCTAAACCCTTGACAGGGGGGTCTGGGAAAGGCAGGGAAGGTTTGGAAGGGTTTGAAAGGGCTTCGACGGGCTTGTTTTGAAAACCCTCGGAAACCCTTAAACCCTCGGAAACCCTAAAACCCTTAAAACCCCTCGAAAACCCTAACTGTGGTTTTCAAACCCTAAACCCTCGACTTCCTGCTGCCCGCTCCTTAGTGACCACCAAACCCTACACTCCAAACCCTAGCAGACCCCACCAAACCCTACTAAACCCTAATAAACCCTAATAAACCCTAATAAACCCCATTAAACCCTAATTAGCTCCCCAAACCCAATCTAATAAACCCTAATTCGCCCCCCTAAACCCTCAAACCCCCAGTCCTCCCGAGCCCGGCAAACCCTCGAAAGCGCTCCCAAACCCCAAACCCTAAAAAAGGGTTTGGAGGACTCACTGGGCATCACGACGACGGGGGTGTTGGGAGGCAGCAAAAAAGCCACAGTTCGGTAGTTTGCTGCAGTCAAGAAAGCCACAGTGTTGCTGCTGGGGTGTCTTCGAATATAAGCCGCCACTTCTTGCAAAGATTTGAACTTCAAAGAACTCCGAGTCACAAACACATTGCTCGCCCCCACAACGGGGCAAGTTCGGTAAAAGTAGGCCCCCATAAGACCCTTTTTGGGGCCCCCCGGGGGCCCCGGGGGGCCCCCCACAGCGGGGGGCCCCAGGGGGGCCCCCTGGGGGGCCCCCCCCGGGGTGGGGGGCCCCCCGGGGGCCCCCCCGGCGGCCTGGGGGGCCCCCTGGGGGTCCTGGGGGGCCCCCTGGGGGGCCCCCGGGGGCCCCCCTGGACCCTGGGAAAGCCCCTCCGCTGCAGGCAGCGGCTTGGGGGCCCCCCCCGCGAGAGAGAACTGCAGCAAAGACTCATCGTCGGGCATGGACTGCAAAAAGTATATATCTGTCATGTCAGTTTCTCCAATTAAAACGGATTGCAAACATGCAGCCCCGGAGGTGTAGTAATTGTAGTGTACAGACACCTCGCGGCCGTAGTGCGCGCCCAACACCGCGGCCAGCCGACGCAGGTAGTCCGGGAAAAACCCTGCCGCGCACACACCCAAACCCTAAACCCTAAACCCTAAACCCTAAACCCTAAACCCTAGGCCCTGAACCCTGAACGAGGGGCCTCCAGGTCTGGGGGAGGACTGCAGCGCGAAAGGGGAACTAAAGGATGCAGCTGGCTCGCGAAAAGCCCCTCGAACGGACGCAAACCCTAAACCCTAAACCCTAAACCCTAAACCCTAAACCCTAAACCCTTAGGGATGGCTAACCCTTGGGTGGGTCCTTGGAGTAGTCGGCTTCTTCTCCCCAGTCGAAGCCCCTGTAGGCCCTGTGGGGCCCGTCCGGGTGCTGCTCCGGCTGCTGCTGCTGCTGCTGCTGCTGCTGCTGCTGCTGCTGCTGCTGCTGCGGGGGCACCCCGTAAGTGGCCACGCGCAGCACGCCCCTGTGCAGCACCTGCAGCAGCAAATCCGAAGGATGCAAAGACCCCAAAGAAGGCCACAAACCCTCGGGGGTTTGCAGCAGCGGGCAGGCCAGCAGCGGCACGTAGGGCACCCGCTTGTAGCGGCTCAGCAGCTCGTTCGCCATGTAGTGCTCCGCTGCAGCAGCAAACCCTAAACCCTAAACCCTAAACCCTAAACCCTAAACCCTAAACCCTAAACCCGGAGGGCTGAGGCCTGAGCGCTTACTCGAGCCCGCGGGAAGAAGGCACGGCGCCACGGTGCTGGCGGCCACGCGCGAAGTGCGGGACACAAACCCTAAACCCTAAACCCTAAACCCTAAACCCTAAACCCTGCTGCTCGAAACACGCACTGTGCATCTCAGCGATGGCCGCGTTCAGCGCATCTCTCAGGCCTGTAGTGCAGGCGGGCTCCTCATCCTTTGCTGCTGCTGCTTCGTTTGCCTCCTGCTGCTCTGCTGCTGCTTCTGAGGGCTCTGCTGCTGCTGCTGGCTTCGTAGCAGCAGCAGCAGCAGCAGCAGACACCGAAAGGGCGAAAAGCAGCGCCAAGAGCAGCAGCAGGAGCCGAGAGGGCCGCCGCGACCCGCGAGTGGCCCCCATCTTGCCTAGCGTAAGCCCCAAACCCTAAACCCTAAACCCTAAACCCTAAACCCCAAGCCCTAAGCCCGAAAACCGGGAACCGAAACCCTAAACCCTCGGGACGACGCAGCGCGCCAGAGGCCTCGAGGCGTCGCTGCCTCTGAAGCAGCAGAAAGGCAAACGAAAAACCCTTAAACCCTTTTAATTTTCAAACAAAGAAAAGGGTTTTAAACCCTTTAAACCCTTTTTGTCCGCAGCAAGACAGAGACGAAGCAGCCACGGCGGAGGGCCCCAGCCCGCCAGCTGCAGCACCGGAAGCCCAGGGGGCCGACTTCGCTGCAGCAAACCTTTCAAACGACTTTTTGCGTTTTTTAACTTTAAAAGCTTTTATTTAATTCCAAACTTCCAAACTTTAGAAGCAAAGACGCGCCCGCTGCGTTCCCAGCAGCAAGTCGATGCCCCAGCGCGGCTGGCGAAGCCCAGAAGGCTGCAGCGGCGGCCTGTGGGGCCCCCGGGCAGTTTGGATTGTGTCTGTCTTCTTTCTCGCGTCTCCCTTTGTTATTTCTTCGTTTTTATTATTTTATTTAAATCAAATTCCGAAGAAAAAGTCGCTTCTCCCCTCAATCAGCAGCAGCAGCAGCAGCAGACACCCCCAAAGCACCCCAGGCGTCGCTGGGTGCGCCTGAGGCCCTATAGGGCCCCTCTAGGGTTTTTCTGCCGCATTCAAAAGATAGTGTGCCTCAAAAAGGCATTAAAATAGACATTCCTGCAGTTTTAAATGAGGTTTCCCAATTTATAGGGCCAGGGCCGCTGCTGCTGCTTCAAAATTACTACATCTTCAGATAGGGGGGTACAGTCTTCACTGGGAAAATTGCCTAGCAGCCAAATTTATAGCTAAACAGGACTGCTGCACAAATCTATTTGCCTTTGCTGCCGCAGCAAAAGGCCCTCAGAGTGTCTGCGCTGCGCGGGGGGCCCCCTTGAGGTCCTGGGGGCCCCTATTCTAGTGTTCTTCTCTGACACGCGCAAACGGCCACTTGGTAAGTGCCTTCCTGTGCATTTTAATGCATTCTTTGCTCACTTTTATGCATTTTTTCGCCTTTAATGCAAATTTGTGGGGCTAAGCATTTCATTTAGAGACTCTGGCGACTCTAAAGGGGGCCAAAGTGGCGCTGAAGTGGCACTGAAGCTTCTCGCCACCCCCAGGCGAGCTGAAGAAGCTGCAGCAGCAACGGGGGCCCCTGCCTAGGCGTGGCTGCAGATATTTGGGGTTTAGCTGCGAGCCCTCAGAGCTTTATCTAGCGGGGACTTTGCCGTTCTTTTGTCCCTCTAATATCCCCAATTGTGTCTGTGGGGCCCCCAAAAGCAGCAAAAAAGAATCTGCTGCAGCACTGCCGCTGCAGCAGGAGCTGCCCAGCTGCTGCAGCAAAACCCCCGTTCGGTGGCTTCTGGGAGCTGCGCTGGTTTTCTTTGGCCTGGGGGCCCCCAAGAGGGTCTAGTTCAGTTTATTTAGTTCAGCTTTGAGGCCCCTCTGGAGGTTTTCGAGGTGCTGCTCGAGGCCCCTGAGCAGCAAAAGAATGGTGGATATTTTTGCTGTTTTTGAGGGTTCTGCGAAGTTCATTTTGGCTTCACTGCGCCTCAGATTCCCATGGATTTGTCGCGAGTTCACAAAAAGATATAATAGATGAGTATTTGCACAAATCCGTTGGACTCCATAGCCTGACCAGCAGCCCTAGACGAAATTATATTGAGTGGGGAGCAGTGTTGGGATTATAAGATAAATGCATTTAATTCAAATGCGTTTCCATGCAAGATAGAAGCGGTCAAGACCGTTTTAGCTGCACATGCTGCACGCTACACAGCTTGTGATAAAGTGCGCCTATTATGCACTGCTAAAGAGCCTTATTGCACAAATGCTTGACAGAATTCTTCTTGCTACTCGCGTAAAAGGGGCTCCGAATCATGTGGTAAACGTCTAATTAGGACACTCACAAAAACAAAGGGCCACGAGTTTAGGGATTCATAACACGCGAGGGTAGCGCCTTTAGTTACGGAGCGGCCCCATAAAAGCCAGAAATAAATTTCATATTATTTGCTCAGAAAGAAATGAAATGGCTCCTGTTTTTAAATTGTGAGAGTCCGGAATCCAGGAGTGGTGGCGGGAAAACGGTAATGGCCCTCATGGACAAATTATATTTCCCTTCTTTCGCGCAATTCGCAATTTTACTTCTTAAATTCTTTTTTGAAATAAAATGCGAAGGGAACACGAGGCCTCCATCCCCGTGGTTGTCGAAGAGCGGCAAGTCGCTTCGACGGCTGGCAACCGCCTCTTAAGCCCGGGGCATTTGCATGCATTTAGCTTGGATGCAATCAGAATGAAAGTTGTGTGCAAGTGTGTATTCTCAAAATATATTTTGTGGAGGGAATGTTTCTCCACGGCTTTACATTCTTTTCAGCATGCATATCTGGGCGTCCACCGCTGCGGACTCCTTTGTCTTTGAGTTTCTGTTTCACGCATGTACCCCAATATCTGTGCACAAAAATAACTATCAGAGGACATTGCCTCTAATGTTTAACATTTTTGCGAGTTTTATGTGGCAGCAGCAGGCAGGAGAGTCTGAGGACCTCTGAAACTTTCATCCTCGCAAGCCAAGCTGGTTCGCCTCCTTTTGCGTTTTCTAATTTATCCGGAATTCCAGTTGCTCCTTTCTCTGACTCTTCTACTTTTCCTTATCCATTCTGAGTGTCTGGGCTGTCGGCCGCCTCAGAGGCTACGCATCCTCTTCAAGAGAAGAAGATCTCCTATATCACGAACTTTAACGCAACTGTTCTTAATTTTGTGCTCTACTAGCTATGCCCTTTGTATAGCATATTACTTCTAAATTAAAGGACTTGCATCCATCGGGGGTTAGTTTCGTGCAGAGCATAATCTTATGCATGGAAACCCTCTTTACTTTACGTCACTTTCATGGGTCTAACTCCGCGCTTTGCATGATCTATACATGAGTGCATGCATTTCAAGGTTTTAAATATTGAATTTCCGATCATAGACCGTAAGGAACTAATTGAGACTCCATATGATGCTTCTGAGTTGTAGTGGGTTCTATTTTGAATTTTGAAGAGTTGGAGCTACCTAAGGTCAGCTCCAATTCAGCGCATTTGCATGAGGCGTTAATTTGTAGTACGTCTAGCATAAGCCCAAGAGCCCTTTTTCGTAGCTCAACCTTAAATGTGCCATTATTTGCGTTCTCATCATGTCTTTACATATTCCCTTAAATACTCAGTAATGCGATTTCTGCCTAGAAAGGTGGTTCCAGTGAAGCGGCCCAGTTCGAATATTAGGCTGGTCAGGCACGCCGGGACCTCCAAGTCCCGCAATCTGCAGACAAAGCGTAGCAAGCCTGGTTGATTCTACATCGGTTACTTCTTTGTGTCAAAAACATTAAAAAGGGGGCCATATTGTCGGGATATGTTTAAGCCAACAGCGAAAGTAGCTTCCCGTAATGGGAAACACTGCAACTTACTCCAGAAATGGCCTTCAGGCTAATATTATTCAGAATATGTTGGTTGAAGCACTAGCCAGGAATAGCCAACAAGCACAGAAACTTAGTCCTTGGGTGATAACTCCTGTTACACTCTGCAAAGTGCGCAGGTTTGAGTGCGGGTAAAAGTCGCTGAAGCTGCAGTGCGCCGCTCGCTCACTCAGCGAAGAATTATGCGCGGAAAGGGATGTGCCCTCTGAAAAGCTACCTGCACTGAAGGTATTTGATCTCTTTTAATGCTAGAATGTGTTTCTAGTGAAAGGAGATACGCATGAGCGTATGTTGGCACAATGGAATGACGCGAAGCAGCCAAGCTGGGCTTAACTTACAATATAACCAGCCGTACGACCCTAAAAGCCCGTATCCTCACGAGCTTATTAACCCCTCCTCGAGGGAAAGCCGTTACGTAATCTGACTGTTAGGCTAATAGGCAGAATAGCGAGAGTGGCCACTAACCACTGAGGGCTTGGAGCGCCGGAGAAGGCGGTTCGGCGGTGCAGCACCGAATTAAGGGATAGCTATTCACAGCTTTTGCGTGTCTCTTATCCTTAGTCCATAGTGGGTGCTTTTCGCTGCCAGCTACGGAAGATGTATACCCTTTCTTTTCGACGCTTCCTGCACTCCCAAAGATACGACTTCTTTGTTTAAGTGCGCTTCTTACATCGGGGAGTTTGCCCGTACTGAAGCCTGCACCCTTCTCGTTAAACGCAATAGAGGAAGCCAAAATCCTTCTTCCTCTCCAACAGCCACTGGAAAATCTTCTGTACTTAGCAAGGAAAATTCGTTTTAACCCGATAAAAAGAAAAGATACAGACGCCATCCCGCAGCGCTTCTTTTACAGTGAGGCATGCCTGGCTTCGAAGCTGGAGCCCAGAATAGCTGCTTTTCGCTACCAGCTACGAAAAGGCACCGCCCTATACGAGCGAATAGCAACTACAATAAATAAGTATTTTCTAAAGGACGTGTAAGATAAAGTAATAAGAAGGAAAAGCTACCTGGGTGACTGCTCTACGTGATAAAGGTAAAACTTACGAGCTATGGCAGATAATGCGTAAAAGTGAGGGAGCAAAATGTCTCATGCAATCTTGTGATAGTATGAGGCTTCTTTTGACCCAATTGACTACCACCTTCACGTCAAGCGAAAAACTGCAGGGAGCAATTCAGCAGAGGGTCACTGGGCTGAAGGGGATGAGCCTACGCAGATGCCTGCATTCGGTAAACTGTGCCAAAGCGAATTTAATGCCAGGCAATAATCAAAGTCCAGTAGCCATTTATTCAAAGCTTATTCCTAGCAGAGTCAGATACACACTAACTGTAGAGCCGCTTTCCGGAAATGTGGGAAAGCCCAAATGGGCCGCCCTATCAAACTTGTGTTTGCTTGTTCTGGGGGTAAACAGCAATCGCTTACAAAATCTATCAAAGCGCAGATTTGGCACCCCAAATGCTGAAATACTACGTCATTGTAAAGGTTCTCAAAAAAATGATTTGCTTGTCCTCTAGAACCAGACTCAGTTAAACGTCGCTCACCATACCTCCTTGCCTACTTAATGGCCCATCAAAGTTTGATAATTACTTGAAGATCAACTAGTCTCTGTGTGCTCCTCTATATTGCAGTGTCTACTTCAAAACCAATCACTTTGCGTGCTCGTCTAGACCGCAGCATCTCCTGATTTTCTTTTGCTTCCAAATTATTTACCTCTCACGTAGTCACTTAGCAACGACAAGCGCCAATAAGTTCGGGCTACAACCAAAAATTAAAAGTAGCTGCCCGAACCGTGGCTGTCGGGAATGGAACCTCAGTGAGAGGATCAGCTCAGCCTTCGCAGGGAAAAGGGTGTGAAGTACCCTTCAAAGGCTTTAGAGCTCAGAACGCTTTTTAAAGGCACCGGAGCTTGTCAAACGTGCCTGTCAGCCGAGCGTCGATCGCTCGTTACCTTACTTCAAACTCAAAAAGAAGACGCACAGAGCGAATATCATTTCAGACACGCAAAATCCACCTTCGGTGTGAGCTGGGGCACTAGCCCTTGCCGGGCGTTAGTGCCCAACGAGCGCAACTTCCCAAAGGTCATCCTTGCGAAAATTCACCAGCGATAGGCCAGTTCCCTCTCCCTAGCTGGTCTAGGGATTTTCTTCGTACTTTGCTCCAGCCATCTCCTGAAGTACCAAGCTGAAGCTCTTTGCACAGGAGACTGAGTTCTCCCTATTCCCCCATTTCAGTCCCTCTTCTTCACAAAAGTCTCTGGTGGAGCTGCGTTACATGTGCGCCAATTGAGGCAGCCTGCTGACGTAAAGTGCAGAGTAGAATGCTATTAGTGTCCCCACAATGAGGCCTGTGAGGACATCTCCTGGGTGGTGGAAGAAGTCCATAACACGGGAAAGCGCGATAAAGAGGCAAAGAATGAGAAGGGCCCCTTGAATGAAAGGCCGCAAAGCAGCCGCTGTGTCTATTAGCCACTCTGCCCTGCTGTTGCTCCTCAGCCTTTGCCTGAAAGTCGCCATGAGAGGGCCAGCCGAGGCTTTCGAGAGGCGACACTGAAGGTAAATGATGGTGTAAAGCATAGCGCAGCTCGAATTGCTGCTATGGGCCGAGAAGAAGCTGAGGCGAGCCTCCTTTATTGCTGCTTGATCTGTCCCACGGCACTCGTATTGGTCCACGTATAAGTCGCCCGTGGAATCCGAGCACTTCAAAGCACCCCAGTTTGGCTGGCAAACGGCAAGGAAGTGCGGGCGCAGCCTTCCTATGCAGAGCTTCGCAACATTTGCCAGAGAGAAGTTCAAGAGGATCCCAAAGGCGAAGCCACCACACACTACGTACATGTTGCCAACTATCCTAGGTAGAGAGCAGCAATTCAATTCAATAGATGCGAGGGAATTTTTTTCAACGACAAACGTATTCAGCAACTCAATGGCAACAAAGATGACGATGGGAATGCCAATCACGAGTGCCGTCGCTACAGAAGCTGGGACTGTCTCAGCCTTAAGGGGATAGCGGATAGTGGTGTCACTGCAGTAAAATCCCCTTACTGGCGGGTCAGCCACCAGCCCCCAAATCACAAAAGCCCCCAATAATGCGACACAGACAAGGTGCACAGACAATCTGATTGTCACGCTCTTGGCAGATAAGGGACGGCAGCCGTCATCATCCCACAGCGAGCGGCGCCGGGCGATTCCTTGCGAGTCCGCAGACCCAGCCGTTGCCAGCTGCATTTTGAAAAGTGTCTTTCAGGCTTGCATGCGGCGCCCGCGGCGGCGGGCCTGAAGTGAGTGACGGGGCCCTTTCACTCGAGAAGGAAGTGAGCGGCCCGGGCTAAAAAGAAGCTCTTTTGAATCAAATAAAAGGGAAGGCACAAAAGGGCTGGCAAAACCAGGACAAGCACTGCGGAGCGCGTCTCAACTACCAGTCACTCAGCCAGCTTCCCTAAGCCCGCGGCAGGCTCTCCGGGGAATGGCCGTCACAGCTCCATTTCTGCCACGCAAAATGCGTGACAGAGGGTCTGAAACGACAGTCTGGCTAACGCGTGGAAAATTTCAGTGAGAGAATAGGAGAAGGCGACCGCCGACAAGTAAGAGCGGCCGCTCACTGGCGCCGGAAGGGGGAGCGAGGAAGTTCCCTGCAAAACTGGGCGGAACTCTCCTGAAATAAGCTCCCCCGAAAACTTAGATGAGAAATATTGAAGAAATTCAGCAGAGAATTCCTCAGCGGCGCCGGGAAAAGCTCAGGAAGGCACCCCGGCCCGGTGGCGTTTACAGCGCATGCAGCCCCAAACCCTGTCGAACAGTCTCGCCATTGCTCATCCGGCTTTCGTGTTTCCTTTTTATTTCAAAGATATATATTTTTTGTTAAAAAGACAAATGAGATGGGGAATTTGTTGCATATATGCAGGGAAGCTGGTGTGCGGAACATGCGCACACAGCGACGCAGCAGGTTGCTGGGGGAACAACAGCCTGGAGAGTATCGTCTCGAGACTGCAGGAACTCGCACTTAATTCCGAGACAAAGGTTTTGAATTTCGTTTTCGAAATTTTATTTGAACAATTAAAAATCTATTCCGAGAAAATCGTTGGCGATTTTGGTTTCTCCGCGTCTCTGATTTCTTGGCTACCTCCCCAGGGCTTCTGCGGTGGCGCCGTCGGCTTCAAGATCTAGTCACGAAAACTGGCAATAAAGTCCAGTGGAAATTAATGAAAACAATTTTAAAATAAAATTAAGCGAAAGGAAGTCATATTTAATCTTATTAAATGGCTGAACTGTTCGTATTCGAGTTCAGGAGCCTAGGTTTGCTGCAGAGCTTCCTAACACTGTTCCACACTGTGAGGTTGCTGCTCTTCCGTTTCTTTCCCCTGAACTCAAAACATACTGCACATATTTCTCTTTACTAAACAGGCGAAATGGAACACAGAGCTCTCCACTATATTTGCAAGGCTCGCCAGGCCAGTTCTCTTGGCAGTTTACTTTCACGAAGCTCCCCGAAGATGTTTCTTTCTTAACAACTTTGGCCTCCAAATGAATGCGCTGGCAAAAGGGGCAGAGAAACTTCAATTCAGAATTTAGAATTTTTGCTGCGCAACTCAAGAAGCTAATTAGCAGCAGAGGGAAATGCATTGGAAATGCCTTTAGTTCAAAAAAGCATTTTCAATATTCTTTTTCTTTCAAGCTTTCGCTGGGCCAAAAGGGCTGCAGAGTCCTGCTCTGCTGTCTGTTTAATAATTATAACTTGTGATAAACAGAAGTTTTTCCAAAAGAAAATAAGCATGCAAATGAACTTCCTACGACTTCCTGTCGCCCCTGATGTTATACACTCATCGCAGATCTCTTTCTCAAAGTATTTCTCGCAGCAACTCGCTACAGCTACAGCAGCTACTTTCCCTTCAAAATGGAAATAATGTGTTAACATAAAGGCCTTCAGAACGCCGAAGGCGAAGTGCCAATCAAGCAAGTGTACGTACAGCTAGACCGCCCTTGCATGCAAAAAAGGGTCTTGAGGGGCAAATCCACTTCTGTTTAAGTTGTTTTGGCCACCATTCAGGATGAATGGGGCAGAAAAAAGAGGAATTAAAGGGTGAAATGCCTCTGCAGGACTTCAAAGTGGTACTAAAGACAAACAGCCGAAGAAAAAGACAAAAAGAAGAAACTGGAAGACAAGAGGAAAAGGCCGCAGCTGGGGGCAGAGCCAAGAGCCAGCCCAAGACACAAAAAGGAAATAAACTTGCAATTCGAAACGAAAGAACGAAAATGACGAAAACAAACGACCCCCTTCGGGTTGAGCCCGCGTTGAGTCACAACTTAATACATTTTATCCTTATTTTGTTTCTAATTTTAATATATTTTATAAATAGACTCTTTATATCCCTATATCTTGAATTAAAATTGGAGTCGCCGCTCTGCGACAGAGGCCCCTGCCTCCAGTGCCAAATGACCCTAGGGCTTAAGGTTTTAGAGTTTAGCGTTTACTCCTTTAGTTCTTTTTTCTTTTCCGTTTTGCAGTTAAAGTTTTCCCCTTTCTGAGTCTAAGTGGGCTTTACGAAGTCTTTCTGAGGGGCAAAAAGAGCAGTTAAAGGTGCATCTTTTGAAGCGGAGAGGAGTGCACTTGAAGTGAATTGCAGCACTTGTTTTCGGCAAAGTTGAAATAAAAAAGAAACCAAAATGAGAAAGAAAGAAAGCGAAAGAAAATGCGCATGCAGCACTAAAGTGCTCGCGTGCGCCTTTGCTGGAACTGCCCAGCTGTGGACGGCGGGAACTCCTTAACTAGTCTTCTGGCGAGTTGCTTCGAAACATTTGGCAGCAAATGTTTGCAATTTAGCGAATTAAAAGCCAAAAACGCAATTTAAGGCTGAGACAGCAACATGTTGACCCCCTGGGGCAAGTAGGTGACGTTTTTGGACTTGGCCAAAACATCCGCTATTTCCCGCGCCGCGTCCAGCCGCCGCACTTCAATAAGGCCCCCCCCGTGTTCTTTAATGGCCCGAGATATCAGCGAAGCTGCTTCGGCTTCGCCCTCAGCGCGAATCACTGCAGCTTTCTTTTCTTGTTCGGTCATCGCCACCACGAACTTCACCCGCTCGCTCTCCTGCTGCGCCACCTGCTTCTCCTCGATCGCCCTCGAGAACTCTTTTCCGTAACTCAGGTGGGTCTGCATGCAAAAAGAATAAACTCGCGAAGTGGGATTGCAAATTTTGCAAAAGAAATGCAAATATTGCACAAGTTCGTGCTCGTCTTCATGTTTCCTCGGCCGCGCTCTGGGCGCGCCTCTCTACGAGAAAGCTGGTGAGCTCCGAGGCAAAAGCAGAAAGCTGTTGAAATAACCACGAAACGAATGCAAGAAAGGAAAATAATATCCATTTGGACACTAAAGATTTGAAAATGAGCAGTGAATGCACGCAAACCGACACAAGTTCAAGTCCAGCTGAGCCTCCCAGCTAAACGAGACAGTTACAAGTCGCTCCAAAGAGGAGCTCGAACAGCTGCCGGGCGACAAGCTTGTCAATAAATGCAGAAAAGCAAACAAAGCAGCAAAAAGGGCCTCATAAGGGCGACGTCTCTGCGGAATTTGGCTTACAATGGCGACATCGTCGAGTTCAATGTCGAAGTTTTTGGCCCTGTGCGTGATCTGCTCGCGAATGTCCTGGGAAACGCGGTCCCTCTGAGTCAGCAGGCTCTCTGCGTCGTAGCGCGCGACGACAGCCTTGAGGACTTCGTTGCCTATTGAAGGCAAAACGCGTTCTGCAAACTCCGGGCCCAGCGTCTGGTGCAGCACCGGCAGCCGCGCCTCGTTGGGCCGGTAGAGCAGCCGCAGAGAAAGCGAAACCATTTGCAAGTCCCGAGTCCCCGTCGTCGTCGTAATTACTTTCGGCTGAGTCCGAATGTCGTAAATGTAAGGCACTTGCAGCCACGGCACAAACATGTGCAGACCCTCCCCCACCGGCCGCGGGGAAACCCCGCCGAAACGGTTGAACATGATGCAGCGCTGGCCGCCGTCAACTGAAAAATAACAAAAAGAATACAAAATAATTCAAAAATAATTCAAATATAATTCAAAAATAATTCAAAAATAATTTAAAATCAACAAAAAGGCGACTCGATACGCTAAGGAATCCGGCATATGCACGCAAAACTTGAACTGAGGAAGTGGCAAACCCTAAACGCAAAAACGGAAACTGAATCTGCAACGGAGGGACTCAGTGCAATAAATAAGCAGCTTTATGTCCTTTTAAACGAATAAATAGACCTTTATGTACGAATAAAGGCATTTAAATGCTTATATTCATGACTAGCCACGCACATAGCCTCGAGCAAGTCGCAGTTGCGTGTAGAGGAACCGCCGCGCAAAATAACTGCAGCAATTCAAGTGCAAATTAATGCCATTATAAAATCTTGATTGCATGAAGTGCAAATTAATGCCATTATAAAATCTTAATTGCACAAAGGCACATTTGAGAGGCATTCAATGTGGATTAGGCCACTAAGGCAGTGCAGAGGACTACAAGAGAGTTCACTTGGCTGCAAGTCTTCATCCGAAATATGAGCACTTGCATTGCAAAATGGAAAAAGAAGTTTTTCCATTCCTTCTCGCATGCAAAAGTGTTCAAGGCGGGGGAGTTTTGGGTTAAGACGCTCGAAATAGACGAAGACAACAAATATAGGACAAACGAATCCAACAAATATCCGCAAAGGCGAAGCCACAGCAGCAGCAAACGCTTCCAGCTAATTTGCTGCTGCAGCCTGGCCTGCTGCGGGCTGGTGATCAGCAGCAAACGGGCAAGTGTAGTAAATCTGCACATCTCCAGAACCTGCATGTCGCACGCTGCAGCCCCCGCGAACGCATTTAAAAATGCTGTCTAAGTGGAACTAAAAGGCTATTCTGTGTCATAATATTACTTGAGAATAAACCGTTATTACCAAAGTGACAGAGAGGCGTTGGGAAGGCGTAAAGGAAAGGACCTTTTCGCTCTGTTCCCATCTACGCAGTCACGCTGGGCGGCTAGGGAGCGCTCTTTGTATTTCAGAGTTTCACAACGCCGTTTTAAATGCGAAATAAAAATGCAGAATGAAATGTTATTAATTAGTTTTGACTCACCATCGTACAGGCAAGACTTGGCGACGAGGCCTGAGACCCCTACGGCGACGCCTAGGCGGCCGAGGTTAGTGAGCACCCGTTCAGTCATTTCGAGGAAACTTCTGTCTTAATAAGACCAAAATAACACAATTTAAACTTGAAAAAAACCTCGACAAGCTTATTCGAAACAACGACTTCCACAGATACTCGTGGGGAAGCCAACAGCAGCCGCATGCAAATTAAGCTCGGACGGATGAAAGGAACACATCGGAACACACGATAAATGCAGAGAAATCGAAGTGGAATAACATTATGTTTTTATAAATAGTGGTTTGGAATTATATCTGACTCTTACTGTGCAAATGACTGGTGGAAACCTAGATAACCAGCATGCGCCGTGCACAACACGAGGCAAGGACACATTGCCAGATCTAGAGTACTTCGCCTTCACTGAAGAAAGCCTTATAACAGTTAAATATGATAATATGGTTACTCTACTCTGTTTTAAAGGCTGTTATAAGCTGCCTGGAGAGGCCTCTAGCGCTAAACACCAGGAGACCTGGCGCAGCGAATGCTAGGACAAAAAAGGAACTCCTCCGAAACTTCTTAATTAAAGAACCTCATTCAAAAGCTGCCCTCTTGAAACTTTAGAATAAATGATCTGCTTCAGGAGCTCCTCAAGGCGAGGATAGTCCTAGAAAGCACCGTAGTCTCAGTGAGGCTGTCTTGCAAGGAGCTTCTTTCTTTGATTTTGCTGGCCACAGATGTCACTCAAGATGAAAAGACTGCAAAAAAGATCACAATTTAGAAGAAGTTTCATTATTTGTGGGCATCAGCTCCTTAGGCCTCCTGGGACTCTGCCACATTTTCAGTTTTTCACCAAAGTACTGCCTCGGTGGAGTTGATCCATCGAAAATGCTCACATAACACACTTTAAACTCTTTTAAATGCCAGAGTGGCCCTGAAGTATCTCTTTAATTCCCTTAAATCTCGCCAATTGTGACTTCTTGGATTTACTTGGAGAAGATTAGGAGACAAAAACTAACAAAAGGAAAAGACCTTCAGTAATAAGGCTTTTTCTTGCTGCTGCCCCAGCGGGTTTGGGGCGCCGTGGGTTTTGCTTGTGCATGCAGCGCTTAGCAGTGGCTGTCTAAAGGCCCCTTATTTTTGTTTTCAAATATATGTTGGCTCTTTGAATGCCCAATGAACTGTGAGGCACTTGCTGAGGAGCAGCTGAGCCCGAAGCAGCAGGAGCAGCAGCAGGAAAAGCAGCAGCAGCTGCAGCAGCAGCAGCAGCGCCAGAGTGATTTGGCTCGGACAGCCGCTCGTTCTAGGAGTGGGGGCATTTAAGCAGTGGTGTTTCTTCAAGGATGGCCCGGAGCCATCAGTAGAATTGTTTTACTTTGCAAATAATGCAAAAAGTGGTTTTTTCTGATAAATAATGAATTAAAATGATATTTTACTCTAAAAGAAACCAGTGTAGGACCAGCAGCTGCCACAAACTTCCCATCCAGCAACTAATTAGGCCATCATTCTCGGGCATTCACACTCCGGCTCTCTTACTGGCCACTGGCCCAGCCGTTGGGCACTTCTTAAGGGCTTTTTATATATTAAAAAGGCTGCAGAGGGCACGCAAAGAGCCTCAATTGAAGCCATAGTGAGAGACCCTGAGGGAACTTCGCTGTGGGCAACTGGGGGAGGAAGACTTGTCGCGAGGCGCGCACAGAGAAGACTTATTTCTGAAAAGAAAGAGGTCTTTTCTGAAAAGAAACAAGTCCTTCTGAAAAAAATTAGTATTTTCTGAAAATAAAGAACTCTTTACTGAGAAGAAAGAAGTCTTTTCTGAAAAGAAAAGACTTCTTTCCCTGCTAAGGCCAGAAGGGAAACAGAAAGAACTGAAGCGGCGGGCATTCAACTTCGAGCTGGCTGTAGCGCGGGGGAACAGATAGCGCGAAAACGAAGGAAAATTCAATTAAATTAATTAATTAATTGCTCAATTTTAATTTAATTTGCAAAATTAAATCAAAATTGATCATAGAGTTTGCATGCTTGTGGATCGCAGCGTAATGGTGCGGGGGGTTCTGCAAGGGCGTTTGGAGGCCCCTGGCTCTTCGCCTTCAGCGCCGAGTCAAAAGGCTTTGGCGCAGAGTCACATTCGATTTAAAAGCTGCAGAAAATAGGAGAAGAGCCAGGCCCCTGCTGCTGCTGCTGCTGCTGCTGCTGCTGCAGCTGCGGGGGCTTCCTGTGGAGCCCCTGGGGAAGCAGCGAGAGGTGCTGCTGAGAAGCAAAAGCAAATGAATAAGGGGAAACTGGACTTCAAAGAGCAGCAGAGAGTTTAGGGGAGAAGAATAAAACAGAGTTGTGCTGCTTCTTGCCTTCCTTCCAGCTTTTTAGCCCCCTCGGCGTTCCCTGTGCATGCAGAAATCTGATGGGTCCAGAGCTTTTATCTGCTGCTGCCTTGAGAATCATCTGTCTTTGCTGCAGCAGCAGCACCTGCAATTTCCTCAGTGTCTATCACCGAAACAGTATTCAAACATAAATCCCTTAAACACAAGAAAGCAGCTTCAAAAGTGTGCGTGGGCAGATACTATCAAGGCCGCCTCCACTCCAGCGCTTCTGAACACAGATGGACTTGCTGGTATTTTGCCTGCAGCGCGTCTGTTTCAGTGTCTTTTAACGACTTCTACCAGTACACCGTACTGTTTTGCTGCTGCTGCAGCTACAAATTCGGTGTTTTGAAGATTGTTTTGGCAGCAGACCCTGAGGAAACAGCAGGTGCTGCTGCTGCAACAAAGACAGGCGATTCTGAAGGCTACAGCAGATAGGCTCTCCACCCAAAGAGTAGCAGCATAAGACTCTTTCTATTTTTGCTGAATGGTGCCGCAGTGTGACTGCAGAATGGTCTGTCTGGTGGCTCTGACGCTGTAGTTGAATGGCGCCTACGCTCCATTCGAGCTGAGGTAAAGAATGTCTTTGAGGCTTCTTTAATTTTGAAAATTTATTAACGAAGCTGTTTTAAGGGGTTTTTTCAGTGAGGGTGAGGGAACACAAGCTTTAAGGGCAGAGGTCAAGACAGGGATTGTCTTCCTACGTCCCACGTGCTGGCTCGCAGCGGCCGTGCAACCATAAGGCGGCGAACAAACAAGAAAGAAACCTTAAATTAAACGAACAACAAATATTTTAATGCATTTTTAGAGAGTTTTGCAACTTGTTTTACTTTCTGGAGGTTCGTTACAAGCGACGACAATCGGAACGGAGCATGTGAGCGCCTGCAGCCGCAGCTCCGTCAGCCTTTTAAGTATATGAGCTTACTGGGCTAACCTAGGCTGAAAAAACTTCATAATTATCCTAAATAAACTTAATGTGGGCAAAGTGTGCCCTTTGGAGGCATGAGTTGCCCGTGAGAGTCTCAGTGATTGTTGCTAGTAGTGCCAGCAGTCGTCGGCGCCGTCAACAGAAGGTGAACTTGAGTGGGCGGTCATCCCTGTGCCTTATCCCGTGAAATTTTCTTGATTTTGAGCCTAATTTTGCATTTAATTTTCAAATTTGGTTTTATTCCGCAGCCTGCTGATGCTGGTATTCGGTCCTGCGGCGGCGACGCGACAAGTGGCCGGGGCGCGGACCACGGCTTGAAGTGCAGTCCCGAGTCGCGCTTTGCCTCAATTCTGAGTGTTTTTGGGTTTTTTTTTTGCGTTTAAAAGCCCCAGAGGGCGTTATTTGTGTCGAATAGTGCCGCGGCGGAGGATGAACGTGGGCATGCGGATTTTCGGAGCCCAATTTGGCATTTATTCGCTGAAAAACTACATCCCCATAATGGCTGCAGTGGTGGTGGCCGCAGTGGTGGGGGAAATTGCCCACAACGCGCGGCTCAAGAGGCGGCAGCTCGAGCAGGCGCAGCGGCTGGCCCGCATGCGGCGGCTGGTGCGGCGGCAGCGCCGCAAGAGGGACTTGGCTTTAATGGAGGCCCAGAAGCAGCAAAGAATGGCCATAGAAAGCCGCTGGGCACTTCCCCCCGTCTATGGCTATCTGGAGGCCCCAGAAGCCTTCGAGTCTTGGCAGTTTTCTGGGCCCCGGAGGGGCCCCCAGGGCCCCCGCCCCAGGCTCAGGGGGCCCCCCGAGTACCGCAAACGGGCCAGCCGGGGGCCCCCCTCAGAGGCGGAGGAGCAGCTCTCTGCGGAGGGCCAGCCGCCGGCCGACGAGCAGCAGCAGCAGAAGCAGCAGCAGCAAAAGCAGCAGCAGCAGCAGCAGAAGAGCCAACGGGAGGGTGGTGAACCAGCAGCAGAACTGCAGCAGCAACAAGAACCAGCAGCAGCTGAACAGCCCAGCCAACCCCACCTAAACAACTCCACGAGCTCCAGTGAACGAACAAGCGAAGCAGACTAAAGCAGCAGCAGCAGCAGCAGCAGCAGCAGCAGCAGCAGCAGCAGCAGCAGCAGCAGTTCCAGTGGCCGGCCCAGTGGAGATACACCGCGCGGAACAGAGCCAGAAGAACAGTCAGGTGAAGTTGAAAAAAATAACAACAGAAAAAAGACAAATGGAATTTCGAACTTCAAGATGAAGTTTGCGAAAATTCAAACATTGAGAAGTTGAATGAGGAGTTATGGCTGCTGCATTAAATAGAAAAGCAGCAAATAAAATTGTTTTCTTTTTTAATTGAATTTAATTTTTAAAATAAATTAAATTAAAATAAAAAAGCAGCAGCAAACAAGAAATTCATTTCGTAAGGCCGATGGCCTCGCGTCCTGCTTCCAGCTGAAGGCTGCGCATTTGTTTCCCTTCGTTTGCTGAATCATTTAATTTAATTTAATTTAATTTAATTTAATTTAATTTAATTTAATTTAATTTAATTTAATTTAATTATTTTATTTCATTTTATTATTCTGAATAGTTATCCTTTTTAATGAGCAAAGAGAACCCAGTGGCTCATCAAGCAGCCACGCGCGCTGCTGCTGCTGGCTGCGTTGCCGCGAGCGCCATACAGCTCCCGCACTTTGCTGCTGCTGCTGCTGCTGTTGCAGCAGCAGCTGCTGCTGCTGCTGCAGCAGCAGCAGCAGCTGCTGCTGCTCGAAGGAGCAGCAGACGCGGGTGTGCTTTCACTCGACGAACTGCCTGAGGTTAAGGGGCCCTGTGCAGCTTTAGTTGAAAAGAAAGCAGCTCCCCTTGTGTCTGTTTGCTGCCTCACCTTCTGCTGCTGGAGGCGGTGCTGCTGCTGCTGCTGCTGCTGCTGCTGCTGCGCCAGTGTCCGTCTGCATGCATTTGAACAGTTGTTGAAGATTAAAAGCTGGAGGGGCTAAGGAGCTGCGCAGGGCCTCACCAGTGGCTCTGCTGGGTGACCAGTGGTCACCTCCGAAGGGCCCGGCAGCAGCTGCAGCAGCCGCAGCGCAGCAAAGCGAGGCTTCTGTGTGGCGTTTTGCTGCAGCTGCAGCACCGAAGAGTCTGGGGCGTTTTGGCCTTTAAAAGGACTTATTAGTTCTCACGAAGCTCATTTCTGCTGCTGCTGCTGCTGCTGCTGCTCCCCGTGCTGCAGCAAACTCAAACTGAAGCTGCTGCAGCAAAAGCCCTGCAACTCGCCCTACCTTCCTTGGGAACCCAAATGGGAGAGCCTTGAGCAGCCCAAGTCGAAGAGATCTTTTGCCTCTGTCTTTCATCCTCGGCCATTTCGCCTGCAGCTCTTTTTCATTTCAGCAGCTCTTTCGCAGCACTTGGGGCTCACCTTCCAGCACAGCCACCTGCGAGTTTGCAATTAAAAAAAAGAAAAAGAAAAAGAAAAAGAAAAAGAAAAAGAAAAAGAAAAGATGCATGCAAGGAACTGCGCGCCGCCGGCTTACTTGAGCCTTTATTTCGTGCCGCAGATCTATCAACAAACTATTCAGCTGCGACTTGCTGAAACGCAAACTCCGCGCCGGCTGCACCTTTAAAGCAATGTTTGGAGGAGAGCTCATCAGATTCGCTAGGTAAGTTGCGTTCTGCTGGCTGCCGGCAGCAGCCTGCTGCTGCTGCTGCTGCTGCTGCTGCTCTTTTGCAGCTTCACGCAGCGCTAGTCCGGCGCTTTCAGCCGCGCTCTTTGAAGCTCCAGGCCCCAATAAGCCGAAGACGGAGGCTAAAATGAACCATTTGAACATTGTTTTCCCCAGATCGCGTCAAAAACTCTCACGGATAGAAACTTTGTGACGCACGGAAGCACTCTTGATCGGAGCTGAGCATACACCTGAGATCTCGCTTCCATCGCGAGCCAACTTCGCTGCAGCTTTTCCGCACGGCGCTGGAGGCGTAGCCTCCTCAGCCTTTAGGACTAGGAAGGTGCTATAAAAGGCAAATAAATAGCTGGCAAAACAACTAATTAATTCATTCTGTTCAGCAAGCATCTTGTTTGAATTCAGTGGCGGGTGCTTCGTGCGAAAGCTCCGCAACGGGGGAAGCCGTTGCGTAGCAGAAGGGTTGCGAGATCCCAGCAGTCTTCAGGGCCTCGCAAGCAGGTGGCGTGTTCCAAGTATCCAAAATAAACTATTAAATAAATATATTTCAATATTCCACTTGTTTACCGTGCGGATACCCTGCGCAGGCCGCACTGGGCCGACAGTCCATCACTGAACCACTCTCTTCCTGCGGAACAACTTGCACTGTTTCCGGGGAGATCCTCGACATGTGCAGTTCCGGAGGGTTGTAAAGGTCCTTTTGAATCGAAAAGGGACTTTTTAAAGATAAAATTAGCCAGAAGGCGCTGCTGCTGCTGCGAATTCGCGCTGCAGCGCTCACTGGAACGCGGACTGGTCTCTGTGGTTGTGGGGGGGTTGGGGCTTGGGGCAGGCGCTTGCTGGTGGGGCCTGTGTGTAGGATCGCTCGCGAGAGGGCTTTTAGATTTAATTTGGCGTTTTTTGTTTCTCTAGCTGCTTAAAAGACTGCAACTTCCGAGCAGCAAGACGGGACTGCAGCGGGGGGCCCTCTGTGCGGGGTTTCTGCTGCCTCTCCTGCCCCGAGTCCCTGCCCCGCGGCACTTGTGCACTTCCCTGTCTTTTTCTTTCCCGGCTGTCCTCCCCCCCCCCCGCTTTTGTTTTTGACCCCCAAATGCGCATCTTGGGGGCCCCCCAGTACCCCTTCTGCTGCTGCGCACCAAATTTGGGGGCCCCCCGAAATCGATGCCTCGCTAGCCGCGCCCCTGCAGTGCCTGGGGGCCCCCCTGCAGCCTCAGTGGCCTCTTAGGCGCAGCCGGAGCTCCTTAGAGAGTTATTTGGCCTTCGGGCGGGCTCGCTGGCCTGCTGCTGCGCTGCTGCTGCGCTGCTGCTGCGCTGCTGCTGCGCTGCTGCTGCGCTGCTGCTGCGCTGCAGCACGGGCGGCCCGCCGCGCCGTTTCTATGCCCCGCGTCTGCCGCGGCCTCCAGGCTCTGTAGAATGGTGGGGCTGGCTGCGGTGCTGGAGCAGCAGCAGCCGCAGCAGCAGCAGCAGCAGCAGCAGCCTGGGGTAGCGGCTCCGGGGGCTCTGCGCGCGGCGGAGGGCCTCGGCGTCTCTGCTGCTGCTGCTGCTGCTGCCGCCCCGCTAGCTGCTGCTGCTGCAGCAGAGGCGCGGAGCCGCAGAGCCGCGGAAGCCCTCC